CTCAAGGAGATTCAGACTATGTCTCATCTGTCCTGGAAGCTGATAAGAAGAAGCGCACTCAAACAGTTTCAGAAGGTGACGCCAACTTGGTTGAATGTCTTTATGAACAATTAGACCTTGAGGAAAGAACGGAATACCGTGAGTTGAAACAGAAAATGGATCAGTCAAAGACCCGGAACAAACAGTGGAAGTGGCAGCAGTGGTTGAGCGAGAAAAATGGTGAGACTAAGAAGAAGGGTGGCAGGAAGCCCAAGGCTAAGGCAAAGCCTAAGCCTAAGCCCAAAGGCAGACCGAAGGGAAAGGCAAAATCAAGTGGCAAGAGTCCCCAAAAAAGGAAGAAGTCTGAGCTTGATGATGAGTTGAAAGACGATGACAGCCATGATTCTGGTGGCGGTTCCAGTGCCATTGATGATGCTGGCTTGGATGCCTCCGCTGATCAAGGTGAACCTGCTGGTCCTGAAATGCAACACAATGAGGAGGCCCCACAGTCTGTTGATGTGGAGATGCGTGTTCTGGACCCAGCTCAAGTCGAGGAAGAAAGGCTGCCTCCAACTCCTGAGGCCCCTGGGCAGAATGCAAGTGAGACTTCTCAACCTGATCCAGAAGGGCCTCCTCCTCCACCGCCACCTGAGAGCCCACCACCTGAGCCTGCTGCTGCCTTACCGCCTGCTGACTTACCACATGTTGAAGTGGAAAGCCCCCACCCCAATTTAGTGGAAAATCCTGGTGCTCCTCTCAATGCTGCTGCAGCTGAACCTCCTTGTCCTCCAGAGCGGCCAAGTTCAAGCAGGGCGTCTGCTAGTGGCTGGACGAGAGAAAATGTCACCCCACCAGTCCTGCTAGAGTTGGAACCCAATGACCGTTTCAAATTCTTTCTGCAGTTCAATGATTGGCGATTCAAGCTGGAGTGCAAGCATCAGTCAGATAGATTTTTACCTCCATATCATTGCAAAACCTTCTCGCGATGTTTTGCTTCCACCAAAGATTGGAAGGGCTGTTTGGAGGCAGTACACAAGTACTGTTGGGAGAAATATGACCTTGTCTCTGATCAGCTTGCGCTGAAACCTGGCCAGCACCATCAAACTCCTGGAGAAATCCCAGACGCTGTTCTGAGAGAACTCCAGCCTGTCATGGAGGGAATGGCTCCTCCCACAGACTACAACCGGCGTCGAAGGTGAGTGGAAAAGTTCTGCTGTCTGACTTTGACATTTGTGAAGTTAAAATGGCACATTGATAGATGTTCTTTTCAGTTTACTTGAGTAGGTGTGAAACATTGATGTTCCTAAGTAGATGTTGATTTGGTTCATACAGTGTGACATTTTCAGCTATAATATAGTGAAAGAAGCTGCCTATCTTTGCGCTCATGGTGAAGACACCCATCTTGCCATGGCTGGCACTTATGTCAATGTCCAGTATGATGCCTACCAGAAGCTTTGAGAAGAAGAAGAAGAAGAGAGATAAGAAGGGAAGAATGGCTGCTGCTGATTTGAGTCGACCGGAAGCCACTGACCCAACTACAGCGGAGGCTGAGGTGGATATCGTGGAAGCTTCCGTTGTCCCAAATCTGGCACTGGATGAGGCAGAGATGGAAGTTGAGAAGTGCTTTCATGATGCTTCCCACATTGACGTGTCCTTTTTTGGGCCCCTGGCCACTTTCAGAAGGCAGGGAAATTGTGGGACAAAACACAAAGTGTCACATGTCATGTGTTGGCTCAATGGCTCCCTGTTTCAGGTGCACGACCCCTGCCTCCCAAAGCCGTCTTGAAAAAGTGGTTGGTGCATTGAGAGACTACCTGGACTATGACAAGGGCATGGGTGGATCTGCCGCGAGTATTTGGCCTCAAGTATTGGGCATGGGGATGAGAGACCTCCTGTTTGGCAAGCCGATTCTGGCACAGTTGTCCATCATTTGTGAACTAGCGATTTCCAATATGGAGTCCAAAGCATCCCAACTCCGAAGCATGATTGAATACAGTGCTGGCTATGGAAATTTGTCCAGGGCATTCAGAAGAAAGTTCAAAGTGGCATCTTTTGACAAAGAATATTCGTCAAATCACAATGTGCTCACCTCCGAAGGGCTACAATTGTGGCTCCTATGTCTTTGTTGCTGTGGTGCTGGATCTTTCTTGTGGTTTGCGCCAGAATGCAGCAGCTTTGTTTGCTTGAGTGTTTCCAAATCCTGTCGGAATGAGGCCAACAACTTCATGGGGGACACATCGAGGGAATTTGTGAGAACAGGAAATTCACTTATGATCCTTCATTCGATGCTCATGGCAATTGCCTTGGCACTTGGGCACCATGTTGGCCTAGAGCAACCGAGTTCGAGTTCAATGATGAGCACAACCTGGATTTCCAGTGTGATCAAATTTTTCAACCTACGCCAAACTCACACCTACTTGGGAGCTTTTGGAGGTGTCACCTGCAAGCCGTTGATACTGACTTCAAGTCTGGACTTGCAAGGTATGAGACGAGACAAGCCTTCTATGTCAGAGTCTCTGACCACAAGGAATGAGAACAATGGATTTACTGGGAAGAAGGGGATGCTGGTTGAATCTCAGATGTACACGGTTGGCTTCTCTGAGGCTTTGGCAAAGATTGTCCAGGCTCAGCTGTGAGTGTGCCTTTTAATTTGATGACTGCTGATTGGCATACAGCGGCCAATTAATTTGATTGTACTACTATTCCAAATTCAGAAATTAAAAATTACTTGTGACACCGCTCGGACTCGCGAGAGAAAGGGTTGATTGCAACTTAGAGCATTTCATGATTGCAGCAGGACTTTATGTGAGTAGTATTGTAGTCTACTCATAGTTTGCCAGGTCTTGCAAAGGCGTGGCCTCAGTGAGTGAGATGTGTCTGTGTTGCTGACTCACAGTAATACTTGTATGTTTGCTCATGCTTGGCAGGTACATCAGTCAAATTTCAAATGTCTAATGTCAAATGTGGAGCGGCAAATGATTTGAACATTTGATAGCATGGCATGTGTGTGCCATGTTTATACTTGAGACAGGATGATGCCAATGCTCCACAGCAAAAGATGTTGACTGTGGTTGGCTTTGTGCCTAACATGTCTTGGGTGGTCTGTGCAGTTGATGTTGGCTGCGTGCCTAACATGTCTTGGGTGGTCTGTGCAATTGATGTTGGCTGCGTGCCCAACATGTCTTGGTTGGTCTTTGCTTTTATGTGTGTTGTCTTTGTCTGTCTTTTGTTGTCTTTTGTTGTCTTTGCCTGTCTTTTTATGTCTTTTTTGTCTTTTAAATCCAATCATGTTTTGCAGGCCTTTATGTGTCTCAACCCCTATGCTCTGGTACCCTAGTTTCTTTCTTGTGACTCGAGGATCGTGTACTGGAGCAAGACCAGGAGGAGTGTCAGGTGGTCCACCAAGCTTGGCAGGCTCCCCCACTGGCTCTTGCTGTCCCTCCGCCTTCGCACTCGGCACTGAGGTAAATGATGCCGAGTCTCATCTTCTTCACCTCCCGAGCAAAGGTCTCCTCGGCCTCCCTCAAGATGCGTTCTCGAAGACGTTCAACATGTCCCAGACCTGGACTTGGTGCAGGATGTTGGCCTCTGGCCACCTCAGATTCACGAACATGTGACTCACCCTTGGCCGCTTGCTGCACCGAAGCACTCCAGAAGGGATTCACCGTCCCCAATGGTCCCACCGGGGTGGTAGGATAAGGCTCCAGCACCCGAGGATGTAGGTCATCATGTCCCGCTCCAGCCATGTAAGGTGAAGTTCCCATGCGCTCCGTTTCCACTCCGCTCTGCCGCAGAGGGGTGCCCGCCGCCAGCCCGTGCCCTGGGAGAACTCCACATCCGGTACCGGCATGACCTCCCTGATCACCGGGCCGAAGAAGAAGGATCAAGTAGGGTCGGCTGGGAACTTGGCCTTTGAAGAGCATGTTGCAACACTTCAAATGACTGCCGAACTGCCTCCTGCAAATGCCCAAGCCCCATCACCTGGCCTCTTGGGTCATTCAACAGCTGTCGAACTTCCTGTTGTCCTTGATGACCGCTCGATGCAGCCACCACCGTAGGGCCTCCATGGCCAGATCCATCCCCAGCAGCTGCTCCCAGCCGCTTCACCTCAGCTGCTCTCACAGGCACTGATTGCGCCCTCATGGACTTGCCCTGCAGCTCCTCCTCGATGAGCGCATCCAGCCGGCGGTCAGCCACACCGATCTCCACCGGTGGAGCTGCGGCCTCTTTCCGCTCTCTAGACCGTTGCTGCCGGCGTCTTCGTTGCTCCATGGGGACCAACACTTCCCCGTCCACACGACGGCAGAAGGTGGACTTGGAAAATCCAAACAAAAAGGATCACCTTGGGCTCATAACCTGTGGTTATGAAATGGGGTTGCCCAGCACGTCGGGCCTTTTCCGACCTTGAGCCAAAGTACAGTAACACCGAGTTGGTGTATGCGTGTAAACCCTCGTAGCGCTTGGCTTTCTACGAGATGTCATTTGTACACTTTTCGATTTGTGCACTCTGTACTTCCTGAATCACACATTCATTGTGGGTGTGTTTTTGAACAGGGAGACCCCCAACCACTGGGTAGACCGGTCTAGTTTTGTTCCCGGGAGTCTGTGGCAGGTCTCCCTCTTTTACCATTTCGACCACATAATGTGATCCACACCTGGCTGACAGGTGGGGAAGACCATGTATAGACTCATTTAGGAAGAGTGAGGTTCTCACTCTCTTTCTGTTCGCCCGCCGTGGGAAATGGAACTGCGGCACTGGGCACCCTTTCACATGGACTTAAACCGTGACGTATCTCAACACTGAGGGGGCCAATCGGCATCTTTGGGCAAATCGGTGTTGCCATTTCTTTGCATGATTGATCATGGCGGGCTGATTCAGCCCGGCACTTCTGAAAACTGGCATCAAAGGCATGGGCTCAGGACGTAGCATGGTGACGACTGGACCGGACGGAAGATCGTCCGGTGTCAACCCGCCGGTCAACCCCTCCGAGCACCGAACGAGCGGGGGCCGATGGTCTCTCCTCCCATGGATCGGCCACGGTGGATGGCTTCGGGGTCGCCCATCATGTGGTCATAGACCTGCCACGTCTAAGCGGGGTCTTCCACGGACGCTACGAACGGAAGATGTTGGGCGTTGCTACTAGCAAGGACGCTACTAGTAGCTGCTGGCCTTACTATAGTAACAAGAAGCTGGACGAGTCACTGGACTCTTCTTCGCTGGACGAATCACTGGACTCTTCTTCGCTGCAGAGTTCAATCTGCAGCGATGCATCCACAAAAAGAATGAAGGACGTGGCCTCACGTCGCATCGCGTCGCCCCCCCAAAGGGACGGTGCCACTTTTTGGCGCGTCTTTGGAATGCCAAGCTTGAAGCTACAAATTTGAGACTCTGATCATCTGATCCCTTCACACATATTATGAGTTTGTTAAAGCTCCGTCTTGCGAGAAAGAAACGGGACACCAAGGTTCAAGGTTTGGTGCTCCAGGCAACTGTGTCTTAACCGTGTTCTGAACCCTCACTTCGTCATCTCCCTTCCCCCGGTGGGGTCGGTGGGCCATGGCACCTAGCCTCGGTGTGGCTCTTGGGCCAGACCACTGTGCTGGAGTCGTTGGGTCCACTGGGCCACACATAGAGCACTCCCTGCGCACAGGTCCAGGTGATCCCCGTGCAATGGTTCTGATCCACCTGAGGACGCGCGTGACGCGCCGGCGCCGCGCGCGACGCATGAAGAGGGTGAAGAAGCCTGGAAGACGGTGAAGCCCATGTTCGCCAAACATTGGAGAACACATCTGACGTGAGTTCCAATGTCTGTTTTTGAAGATGTGCAGCTACTGCATGCTACTGCGCTCGCGCAAAAAAAATCCCAACGATTGGCCATTGAACCGACTCAATGTCTATACAGTAGTTGAAAATGACAACGACCCCCATCCAAATCTACTCCAACTCAATCCAAGGCGCATGTAACCACTCAGGGTTGGTATTTGTTCCAGCCTCCTCTGCGCTGCACCAGAAGACATTGTCCAAACCCACCGCTAAGTCCTGCCAAGTAAAGCATTGGGAACTATAGGAAGCGAACATCCACGGGTGAAGGCCCCTTTCACACACTCTGTGCTTTCAACCCAAGAAACTTTGCCATTCTCCAGAAAACATCTTACAGATATAGTACGAACAAATCTCTGAGGCAGCCAGGGCAACTTCATGCAGTACCGCATATTACCGCTGAGCTCCCTCAAACACAGCGCCCATCTTTGGTCTCTCCGTCTCCGGTTTCTTCTCCTCCTCGCCCATCTCGTAGAGCTCCGCGAAGACGCGACGCACGTTTGGGTGGAGCCTGGCGCCCCATGCGAAGGAGCCATGGGGCAAGGCGTGTTTCGAGGCCATGCCCTTGTTCCCCAAGTGGCTGTCCTGAGCGACGCTCCTGCTCGGCGACGCCAGACACTGGCGCGCCCGTGCGCAAGCAATATTGCTTGGGTTTGGAAAGTTCTGTTTGAGCCCCTGCATGTATTTTTTTTGTGTTTTGGGATTATGGGCACGATGTGTGTGTGTGTGTGTGACAAATAGCATGTGAGAGAGGCAGGTGAAGTATTTTTGTTGGAGCAGCGCGGGAAGGGTGACAAAGAATGAAACCCTTTGTCTTGGACGTGTTTCACCCAACACACGTCGTTCTTCGAACATGAAATGGGAACCCCCCTTTTGCGACTCGCGCTTCCCACCATGCGCGGACACGCGCGCCTAACCCCACGCAACGCCAAGGTTCCCAATGCTTGGGCCAGGCTTTGACCGTTTCCTTCACTGCGGCCGCTTGTTTCGCCACCTGACATTACCGATCTACCGGTACGGTCGAGGTCAAGGTCGACGCCAGACCGCTCGGTCGTGTCGGTACTGATCTGGTTGCGACGTCTCGGTATACTGCTCGGAGACTCCGTGAAGAGTGCCCCCTCCAACAAACCGGGGAAAACACCAAACAAAACGCTGAACAGGACAGCCTGTTCCACAGCCTAACCACGACCGAGAGCTATGTTTCTGCATCTCCCACACCACTGAAAGTTCAAATTTAGCTCGAGAAACTCAAGGTATAGTGGCCCTAAATATGTTCACTGCCGCCCGGGGTAGGTGCAGTGAGCTCAGGCCTGGGGATCCAGCTTACTTTCATCCAGCAGTTGCAGCAAATCATCATGCCAAAGATCTTCCAGGGCCATACAGTCTTCTGGGCTGATGACATCCGTCACCTCGGTTTTGAGGGCCCCCATGTTCGGGTGAAAAGTCCGCTCTGCACCCTTTTGGCTTGACCGCTGAAGATGTGGGCTTATACAACGGAAACCACAAATTGTGAGATTAGATAGGGATGTGATGAGACCTAGACTGTGACGCTGGAGTTCTTTTCACGAGGTAGCGAATATGTATATCATGTAATCTATATAACATCGTTGACTGTCTGGACATGTTTCTTCATGACTGGTGTCCTCCAGCCTCCTGCTTGCTTCTAGAACCAACCAGCCCAAAACAGAACCAGCCCAAAACAGTACAGGCGAACCAATACTTACAACTACGCCTACGCAACATACTTTAGATCCCCACCTATTTCATATAGTTACTTAGTCATATACTGCCTCTTAGTCTCTTAATGTTCTACCACATCAACACTGTCATGACTTCCATCTACTCCACGTCTCCCACAGCTGCTGCCATTTGCGTCGTCCCGCCCGCCTCGGCGCGCCCGGCGCCGAGGCGCGATGCACACGCCGTGCTCCCGAAAGGTGGAACGAATCCTCTCGGGCTCGGTGGCGGGGACCAAGAGGGGAGCCATCTCCTCGAAGAAGCGAGGCAACTGATTTCAAACAGCTGGGCAACTGGATATTATGTTTTTTTTTTAAGGTTCATGCTCTGATGTTCAGCGGTTTTTGTATATGATTTTTTGTTTTTCTCTGTTGCACCTGAAAGAGCACTTTTATTCATTTTTGCAAGTCATACAGTTACATACAATCTTGCATATATACAACAGTGAGTACTTAATTAAGTCTACATCTTCTTGCGACATCTGGCCGAGATAAAAAGGAGCCTGTTGCGGAACGAAGCCACCAAGACTTGCCAAGATGCGGAGTCGGACATCATGGGGAAGAAAGCTTCCCCTCGACGCGGCTTGGATGCACTGGGATAGCCTTAGCCCAGGCTGGGAGCCATCGCATCGCTACCGGGAGCAAGAAGCTACTAATAGCTCCTGGCACTACTACTAGTGACAAGAAGCTACTAGTAGCAAAGGGCATCTCTACTAGCTTGGAGGCCATCGGCTTGGAGACGCTCGATCTGCAGGCATTGGCCGTGACGGCCGCGGCCGTGAGTCTTCAGAGAAGCAAATCCGGGCGAACGACGCCGTGAGTCTCGACGTGTGAGATCCAAAAGGGGAGGAGATGGGATGACATGAGGATGGATGATGAGGACATGGTTGGACGAACATGACCAAAGTCTTTGCTGCAACGGTGCTCTGTCAGTCCACACTGTTGAACATCCTTGACACATCATTGAACACGTCCGCAAGTCCGAACCACTCCGAATCGCTCCGAATCCCGGGGCCACATCGGCCACTTCGGTGTGGGGTGCATGGGAACCTGATGAAGAAAGAGAAGAGTGCCATGAAGAAAGCACGAACAAGCAAGCCAACCGAAGGACGAGATAGCCCGTTGCAAGCGAGAGAGCGAGAGAACGGACCCGACATCACAGGTGTCTGTGACTGGAGGTACAGAGGCAGATGGAAGCGAAGACGCAGAATAGCAGTTCAAGGATTGAGACAATGAGACACAGTTCAGCCCATCCACGACCTCAAGGATTGAGCTCAATCCGAGGACCTCTTCGATCCCAGTCCACTGCCATGACCCCGCTCGCACCACGCCCCGCCCGGCCTCGCACTGGACTCGCCGGCGGCGGACTCGCCGGACTCGGCGCCTCGGGTGTTCGGTGGTCGGCGGGCGCCGGCTTGGCACCGTGGTGAAGGCATTGTGCATGGAAATGCATGGAAAAGAACAAGATGGCTGAAGAGGGTCAAACGAACTCCAGGGTTTCCATGTGATCCTCTGAAATTGGTCACAGGTAGCACGCCTCTTGAAGGGCACCCGCTGGGCTGTGGCTTGCTCTGCTGGCCGGCCCCTCTATGTAAATATACAAGATTATACAAGACTATATACAAGAATACAGAATACAATCCAAGAGCTGAAGAGCTCTGGTTAGAGATTCTGAGACCGTCCCACATCATAGTTTGGTCTATTCTGGCACACAGCCAAAATCCAAATCCGCGCGGCCCAGCACCATGAGCCCGCCGAGGGATGTCGAGGGGCCGGCTTCAGCTCCCCAGCCCACAGCTGTTGCAGTCGTTCTTCTGCACGCTGACCTGGGTCGATTCACAGCAGTTGACAGCCTCCATCCACCCGAAAAGCAACATCTTTCAGGTACACCCAACCACTGGTAAGCCATTCGAAAGTGAAATCGCAGTGAAGCTCGCGGAAGAACGGCCCGACGCATATTGGGCTCTTCCGGCCGTGAAATCCGGCAGTTGAGCCCCGGACGCTGCTCCGCCGAGCACGCCGGCGTGTGCTTCAGCGCGACGGAAGGTGCATCGGTCTCGTCGTCGCGCGGCTTCTTCCAACGCCGCGGCATGGCCAGAGGCGAAGGGACGGGCTTTCAGCGGTGTGGCGGTACGGTCTGGAGCCAAAGCTATTGGAACATCCCAGACACTCCATGTAATTAGAATATATGCCTACACTGACCCCCCAACCCACCCCAATGTCATACATGGAGCGTCTGGGTATTGGAACATGGCCATCTTCTCGGGCTTCGCTGGCTGCAGATGGCATCAGATGGCGGGCCAAAATGGCGGTGAAGAGGCGGAGCGCGCCTCGACTGGCAGCGTGGCTTTTCTTTCAGCCATGAAGCTGCCTGTGAACCAACCTCTTGTGGGTCCTGGTATCTTGAGCATGTGGCTTTCAACGCCAGCATGCTTCAAAAGTCTCCTCAGCAAGAGCATCATGCCTCAGATTCCTCATAGAAGCCTTTAGTGTAGGTGTTGCAGTACTCAGGATGAACGCGGCAAAACTCCGGTTGCAGGTGCGAGACACCTAGATGAAGCAGCTCAAAGTTGGCGACGACCTCGCGACGTGGCCAGACTGGAAAGGCCAGTCTGAAGCTAAGAAAAGCGGAGCTGAACAAAGGGTGTCCAAAAATACAACTAGTAGCAAACCCTGGTAGATCCACTGCCCGCACTTGACACAACCAATCATATCATATACCACATCATGTAGCCCAACATAATACAAAAACAACATCCTCAAGCCACTACCAAGACACTTGATTCAGTCGTGCCATGGCATCTCTTAGGTGACTCTGCCAATAGCTCTCAGGTGGCTGACCCCCAGTCATTTGCTCAGCCGTCAAGGCAGGTGGATTACTCCACATGCGCTCGGCAAAGGCGGCGGCGCGAGGGAAGACCAGGGCCATCCCATTGCCTCTGACTGGGCGGACGGACTGCCAAAACAAAGCCATGAAAAGAACACACTGAGACAAACCAAGAAATCTCAAACTTGCAGGTTCTATTGGATTCTGAGAGTCTTACGTCATATAAACCGTACATAATCCGTGTCCAGTGAACGTTCCAAGTCCCAAAAAAGTCAGAGACCCTTCAAAACCCTCTCTTCATTCACGGCTTCTCATGGGCGACTTCTGGGTTCGCAGAAGTTGTTCAAGTCAAGCGGCCCATCCCTCCGACCTCGGACCTGGCCGAGAAATCTCGCAGAACGACTGGCCTACGACGCACCCGGAAAGCACGGGTTTTCGAGCTGGTGAGAGGAGTGTTTGAACAGTTTGACATGGCAGGACACACTTCAAAAAGGAGTCTGCGCCATTCTCCGGAATCCAGGAAGATGATCGATATCACGCTATAACTCCCGCTATAACTCACGCTCATGTAGAAAAAATCGCTGGAATGGGAAGACATGGGAAGACGGTCTCACAAAAACAGGTCAGCAGACCAAAGTGCCATCTCAGCTCCTAGAAAAGCTTCTTGGCAGCGAGAAGTCGTCAATCCATCACCTGACATCACGTTTCTGTCGCCTGTTTCATTCCCTGACCCAAAAGCCCCCCTGTTTCGTCTCTGTTTGAAAACAGCTTGTCCAAAGTCCCGCTCCTAAGGCCCGCTCCTGGATCCACACTCCAGAAACCAACAAAGGTTCTGAACCCTTTATCCCTTTCTCGACTATCCGAATAGGTACCACACTCATAGGGCCCCCAGGGTCTTTTTTTAGGTCACTTAACCTGACTCCTTCATATTCCCGAGAATAAACCAGCTGTTCATATTTAGTGGGGAAACCAATTCCCAAAAAAGTTGTTTCAGATTCGCTTCGCGACTCGCGAATGAACGAACTCCCTCGCACGTCATGATACGACACGCCCATCACGAGTCACCATATCCTTGCGTGGCGTTGAGCGAGTAGAGCGCTGCCCAGGAAGCACGAGGACACCAGTAGTTGGGACCCATATCAATCCAATTGGCTCCAGATCCGCAATCCATGTAGAGCCAGCCGTAGGTCGAGCCGTCCTGTGGGTAAGTCGCAGCGCTTTGGATCAGGTCATACTTCTGGCAATCCGCCTGAGTCACATGACTGCGCACAAGAAAGCAAGGCCTTGCAGCAATGACTTCGTCGGCTCTTCAGAGAGCACACACGCGTATTGATTAGCGTGTACTATCTGCTTTGTATTAATTGCATCAGATTAAGATTACAGCATTAAATGTATTTCCTCCAATGGATCTTTGGATTTGTATCCATATATTCAGCCATTTTGCCGCCATGTGTCTTCGGAAATGGACTGTGATGTAGAAGATGATGATGGAAATGTCCACAGCTGAAGCGCAGACTTATGCTTCAAGTCAGTCGGGGGTACTTCCACTCCCATGTCTGTTACAGCACCGGACCAAATTGCCCTTGGAATCTTGGCAGGAGAGGGCGTGACGCTGTCCTCCCCGAGTGTTTGCAGGATTGACTAAAAACAAACAAGCCCTTACCAATTTTGGCAAAACCCTGTATGGTATTTTCATGTATTTGTGCTCTGTGCTTGCAAAAATCAAACTCCACCAAAAAGCAAACAGTTTTTCTTTTTTCTGTTCAGTGCCGGGGCTCGAAGTAGTCCTGCACTTTGGCGTTGAGATACTCTGGAAACCACCAGGTGACACCGCTCTTGGCCTCTTTGGGCTTCTTTGGCACAGCACCACAGCCCTTGACCGAAGTGGAAGTGCATTGTTCCTGACTGACTTGGGCCAGATCAGTTGGCTCCCTACAAAACCACCATAAAGAATCCAAAAGTCTGCTGAAGACTTGATTCCAAAAAGCTCTATATATATATAGGTTTTCCCGAACAATTTTTCATTTTTCAGGGGACTCATCACAGCATCGAGAGTCAACTCTGACCGTTGTGGTTCTTTTGTGTGGGGAAACCAAGCACCAATGAAATTCACGTAGCACCTCTCAAGGCTCCCAGCAGAACTCCCTCAGGGGCTCGTCCAGCAATACGCATAGGGATGCAGCAGTGGGTTCATCTCCGCCCACGTGCAGGAATGGGGCGGTGAAGAAATCCTCTTCAGCCTCCAAATTAAGGCTCTTTTAGTTGAAGCTTTTTCCAAGCTAACGATCAACTGTCTTCTTCAAGGACCTCCCTATACCTCCCTTCTCTCTAAACACAAGATGACCTGAAACATCCTGAAACTTTGCTTTTTGTGAGCTCACAAAGAAAGTTCATGAGATTGCCCAGGACCAGCCCCAACCCTCCGAAAAGAGGTTTGGCGCCAAACCCTCCAAATCGCGGCGCATGGACATGGCCTGTTCCAGAGCAGTTCTCACGAATTGCATGGCTCTCAAACTGGAGATGTTCCATGTGCCCGGTGGCGGTTCGTAGGCGAATTGCGGCAGCGAAAAGTTCACTGTCGCGGCCACCGTGAGGTTCAAGGCCGCGGCCAAGGCGGGCGCATGCATCGGGCCATCAATCTCCGGCAAGATGGATACCCCTCGGACCCGGGCAAACCTGAGCATAGGTAGCATCTTGGGGGGGCCCATAGGTGACCAAGACTAGGGCGACTAGGGAGACAGACCAATGCTGTTTTTTGTTTTAAAGGCTTCTCTGAGGCTTCTGCTGAAAACACTGCGACTTACCTAACGAAGTGGAAAGAACATGGTCTGGAAGGCGATGTACTCTGCTTCCACTTCCATGTGTGCGTCGATACCAATGGCCATCGTTTGAAGCGGGCATCCTCTAGAATCGGACCTGACAAACTAGAAAACGGTGCTGGAGAGCTACCCGCCCCCTGTCCCCTGATCCCGGCTCCCCTTGTTTACTTCATGAAGCTCCACGCTCACCATAACCTTAACCAAGCTCATGGTCCGTGGTGAAGTTTCTTTGTGCAAGACACTCAACAAGAACAGCTTGCCACAATGTTCTGCCGCCGTGACACTCCACCATCTCTCTGATGTCACTGCGTGAGTACGTCAAAGGATTGCCATTAATATCGCGATAGCTAAGCGCCTGCGTCATCTCCGGGTAGCCTTCTATCTCCACAGGCCATGAGGCAGTATCCGTGAGGTGCAAGTGCAAAACGTTGATTTTGAATTCCGAAAGTGCTGCAATCAAAAACTTTATCCTTAGTTGCAAATTCTGTGGCGGTCCTTCACCACGCTCCCCCTCCAAGCATATAAAGAAGAATCGTTTTTCAACATGTCGTAACAACATGTAACAGTAACAACTGCTTCTAACTGCATGTCTATGAACAAACCTTACAAACAAGGCACCTTCAAAGTTGAGTGACAAGCTTGAGAAAACACGTTTTGCATAGAACAAAGTTTAAATAACACACAACATCATTTAAAACTAACAAGTTGTTGAAGCAAAGCTTTTCAAGAACAAGGGTCCATGGAACCGAATACCATTGCCTTGAAACATCCAGCAGCACTCCCCGGTGAACAAAACCAGGCTGGTCTTCGATGTAGTGAGGACAGCCAGGAATGGACATTGAAACATGGGCGCCGTCGGTCACCTGCTGCGTTCGGTGAGCGCCGTGTTTTGTCTCAAAGCATATTGACTGAGTCAGTTGAAACATGCGGCAATACTTGGCCACCAAAATGTGTCAACAGATTTCAACATAGGTTTTTGGGTCAAATTGTCAAAGGGATTGCCACTCTGTTCCACTTGTCTTCCTCTTTTTCTTGGGCCCCCCTGAGCACCTTGATTTGTTCCATCATGTTCCATCTATCGCTTTATTTGGGGGCCAAGTCACTTGAACCGAAACCAGCTGATAGAGGGTCGCCATCGCATTGGCCAACGCCCAGCTGCTTCTGGCCGCGATCAGGATATCGTGTTGGGTGACGTTCAACGAGTACGCCTCGGTCCGATCCCGCGGATGCTCCCGGAGGCTCGTAGCAGTGGGTTCATCGATCTGATGAAGAAAGTCCACCCGAAAGTCCGATCTTTCAACGCTCGAAGATTCCAAGCTGGGCAAGCTTGAGAGACGCGAGAAGAACTGGGCATTCACAATCTTCCAGGTCTCTCCTCCTGCAGCTTTGGCTGCTTCCTTCAAAGCTTCAAGAATTTGCTGGGTCAAATGAAAGACATCGGCACCAGAGGCATGTCTGGTGGGTTTGGGGATGAGCACTTGGTACTTTCCTTCCATCTTGGGAGCAGAAGGCGGTGAAGCCAGTGAAGGCAGACCTTGCCTCTGCTCGTTTTGGCTCCATATCTGCAAGAACACCGGATCCTGTGCAGTCGATCTGCACAGAAACCCGAAGGCGCTGATGCACCAAAGAAACGATGCCATGAGGGCGGGTTGTGGCAGGAATAACTGCTCACAACTTGAGGTCACAACTTGAGGAAACAAGACACACGCACACATGCACCACGGAAAGGGTGTCCATTAATCAATATAGTCCCTTAGACCCTTAGAGGTCAAGGGGTGTCCATCAACCACTCCTTGGGGTTCCTGGCAATCAATTATATATAACCACAAATTTATTATAGCCAGAGAGATCGATTCCTGAGAGTCCAGTCATGACTCTCATCAGAACGTCAAAGCGTTCCCACCGTTCCCATGACCATTCGTGTGGCCGTCTGCTTCTCCCCCCCCCTGCTTCCCGGACAGCCGCGGCATGGAGGGCTCCGGCAGGTGCTCCAGCACCTGGTCGGTGGCCAAGGACCGCAGGTCCAAGGACCGCAGGCCCGGTCTTCCACCGGTCTGGGTGACGAAGGTGTGGTGTCCAACACCGTTCGGTTTTTTCCGAAGAGGTCCGGAAGAACGTCTGGTGGTTCTACGTGAGAGGAGGGAGACACGAAAGGTAGGACAGCGGGAAGAGAAGAGAACGCGAGAGGCAGGAACAAAAATGCAATGGTCGACATGGTGATTTATCCCCTCGGAGGCGACCTTTCGTAAATATATGTTCATATGCACTCTAAATGTTCAAACATATGCTCTCGAAATGTTCAAGAAGATTCTTAGGAAAACAAACTTGCCCCATGGCTCAGATCATCGGTGAGCATTGAATCGGAACATCATAGGATTTGAACTATCCTGAAACCATAAGAGGCTCACGAAGACGCTCCCCAGGAGAGAATTGACGTGCTTCACAAAACAAACTCTAGGTATGTATCCCCTCGGGGAACACCTTTCGTGACTAGAATTTCATATTCACTCTTTCTGAATGTTCAAGAGGGTTTCAACTATCCTGAAATCATGAGAGGCTCACGAAGACGTTCTCCAGGAGAGAATTGATTTTAGAGGGCGGGAGGGGGGGTGGTCTGTATTGAAAAATCAATTCGAAGGGGGGGGTCTGAATTGAGCGATCAATTATTAGACCCGGACGTCCCAACACTTGCTTCGCAAGACAAACTCAAGGTATCCCCTCTTTGGCTACCTTTCGTGATTTGTTGGATCATGGAAGCTTCAACTCGGAGTGTTCCGGGTTGTGGAAAAGTCTTTTGTTGGCCAGATGTTGGATCCTCCAGACGAGCAGCTCTAGGCCCGGCTGGCGGCTTCTCCAGATGTTCTCCTCTTTGTTTGGGCTCTATTTTTGCGTCTGGTCGGGTGAGTCCCATCCCACAGTGGCCATCTCTCTGAAGGTTTGAAGGGGTGGAAAGGAGGCATCCAGAAAACTGGCCTCTTCAAGACACATCCAGAAAACAACCAACATGGTTCAACCAATGTTTTCATTGCTTCTCCCCACGTCCAGTTTGCACTTGCCTGGGGCGATTTGTCACATGCGATGTTGCCTCTTGCGGAAACATGAGGAAAAGCCGGCCCTGGCTGATATAGACTTGGACTGTCCAGGAACCGGAGAAAAAAGACATCAACCAATTCCCATCAATTCCACCATGCCAGGGGATTTACAATGATTAATCATAGGGAACATATGGTTAACCTGGTTAACATAATATAGGAAACGATATGTATACAAATCACATCAAATTACCTTAAGAAGTCACCAGGGTACGTCGTGCTGATCTGCACCGCTCTGCGCGGAGATCTCGGCCGCGATCGGGCCAGCACCGCCCGGCCTCGCAAAGGACGATCCCTTCGATGCCAGCAGCCTCCAAGATCCAAGGAGCCTGCTCTCCTACCAGCGCAAGCCGGTCTGGTGGTCTCATGTCTGGTCATGACATGACCTGTAGATGGTCTGTAGATGGATCTGTCCAGATCTATCAAAGACATCTGTCAAAGACATCTGTGGAGTCTATAGCTGTCAATCTGCTGGATATCCTCCAGAGACTCCTCCAGAGTTCTGGTACCAGCATGCCAGTCACAAAAAGCTCTGCTCATCCATTGAGCGTCTCCCCCCGAAAAGACACCAACCAAAACTGATGCACATTGAAGATGAAGCGCACTGCAGCACGTTCTCCTCACATTGAAGCACTTCTACCAGGTGTCGCTACCCAATGTCCATAACGAAGGAGGGCCGCTTCTTTTGGGGGCACCCGACACGCCACATTCCCTATCGCAGGGGCCAAATGGAGTGGGCTGATGGCGGTGACTTGCACAGAGTTCCGGTGCCAACAGCTTCCCGGTGCAACAGCTTCACCCATATCTCCACCAGCTTCCAACACCTAGACGTAAATCAAACACAATTCACAGTATTCTCCATCATTTTCTTCCACTCTAGGTGGAAAGATGAGAATCACATGTTTAAGTCCCTTAGTCTTCTTCCTTCTCTACTTCTTCCTTCCCTCCTTCTTTCTTTCAATAAATCCACCCGGAAACTCATGAAAGAACGCCTGACCCCGCCCCTACCGACCCAACCCGCCCCTTGCGGCCTTCATCTTCCGGCGCCACAAAGTCCCCGGACAGCACGGTCCACGCGGCGGCGCCGTTGGCAGCTCCGTGGGCGGCCGCTGCGAGGCGCTGACGGGCGTCCTGCCCGGCCCGGCGTGGTGTTCAAAGCGAAGGCGTGGTGTTCTGAAACTGTTTGGTTTCCACCGGTGTTGGATTCCAGTTAGGGCTTCCAGTTTTGAAACTGGGTCCAGCCAAATCCGACACCTCACAAGTCGTCCACTCGAAGATTTCCATGTCTTCCATGCATTTTTGAAGGCTGGCGTGGGGTGCACAGGAGCTTGACGTAACGCCTACTCGAAGGAAGAGGGACACCAAAGCACCATAGCATGTATATTTGTTTGTTTGTTTGTTTGTTTGTTTCTTCCAATTCATTGAGCAATCAAGAGCCATCTACTTCTATATGGCCACCCTTGATTCTTCCTGCAATTTTGGAGAGTTTGTTGACCTTGCCGAGAGTGTCGCACAAGCAAGCTGCAGATGATTCAAGATGAGCTCCTCAATCTTAGTGGGCCAAAAATACTGAATCTGTGCTGCTTGATTACTTCGAAACGCTCCTACTGGCCTATACTTGTGAAGCATCTAGGTGAGCCATTCATCAAGCCATGCCACTGCATGCCCACGAATTGGTACCTCAAACCGACCCGTCTACCACGCCGCTGTCAGTCCGCCCCATCCCCCCCGCATGGCTCGTCAGCCTTCGTCCGGTGCTCAGAGAGCTCCAAGCCCACCAGGCGCTCAAAACCCAACGGCAACAAGGCCTGGCGCATCTCGCGTCTCGCCGCGTCTCGGCGCGTCACCCTGAGGAACCAAGCACGACCCGGAGGTTCTGCTCGAAGGTTCGCGACAGCTTGCAGGTTCTGCTGCGTCACCTGCCTCCAGAAGCTTCCCGTCTCCACAACCGAGGTCTAGGACACTCTTGACACAGCGCGCAAGCAAGGCTTGCACAATGAAGGCTTGACCTTGGCACCGCACAACTCGTTCTGCCCAAACATGCGCTGCCGCAGAATGCCAAGCACTAACAACTTCTAACATCGATCTGTAATGACATCGTAAGATCATGTAAGCTCCGGCTGCAGGTTTTTTTGCACAACAAGTCAAGTCTGGACTTACGGACTTGGTGCCCCAGCGCTGCTTCCACAAGGGAGGGCTGAACTTGATCACTTTCTTTGGTGGCTCTGGTTCGGGTGGCAGTTGCCTCAGTGCTGTGACTTGTTCCCCCAAAGGAACGTTCAGCTCCGTTCAGCTCCTTGGGCGTGCTTCCGATGGCTTCACCCTCGCTTACTCTGTAGGCAATTTCATGTCCCAGAGAAAAGACATGAACAAAAACCATCCAAACTCCACCTTCCACTCAACAAAGGACCTCTCAACCGAAACACTATCCCAATCTGTTGCACATCCATCAATCTCATTCACTTTCATTCATCACTTTCCTCTCTCTCTCTCTCTCTCTCGCTCTCCCTCTCCCCCTCCCAGTGCACCTCACAGCGACCTCGATCGTTGATCGAACACACCTCCGAGGCGCAGCTCGAGCAGCTGCGCGCGCAGCTCCAAGTCGCAGGCAATTTGCTCGTAGTGGCACGGTGTCCTCAAAACCACCTCCTGGGCGTGAAGGAGGTGGTCAGCGCGACTTGGTTGATGTTCGTTGCAGGGGTTGTTGGTTGGTTCTTTGACCAAAGGTCGGGGACCGGGGACGTCCTTTTTTGTGTTCGGTCCGGTCTCAAAATTGGGGAGGGCTTCAAGATGCTTCAAGCATCGACCGGACCGGCCTAAAAAACCGTCCAGCGACGCAGTGCCGTGGCCAGCTCCCCCGCCTCACCCATGGGCAGTGTCTCGAGCAAGTCCTGCACGACGAACGCGAACGCGACACAACCGGACACTGCTGATCCACGACTGATCCACTGCTGATCATGTCGGCCAAGCTTAAAGAAACAGAGAAACAACAGCAAAGCACTCCCAGTGTCACAACAGGAAACTACACTCGGACCCAACATGGAAGTGGATAGCATGGCCCCAAAAGGAAGAGACCTTTCCTCTACAAACAGGGGTAGACACCCTCCACGTCCATGTTAGTTCCAGGGAGAGTAGATCAAATATCTACTAAGAAGCACCTTAATCCCACCATACCCTACAGGTCTGTGATTAACCTCTTTTTACTGGAGTTGGTCATACAAAACCACTCAAAAACACTAACCACTCAAAAACACTACTTAAGAAAGTTAAAAAACAGGCTATTACTGGGTCAGACTGGACTGTGTGGGGACACAGAAAACACCGACCCTGGTGCCTGCAGCATGGGGTGTAGGATCCGGCCCGTCACCGCGGCAGTGAGCCGTTCTTGCTTTTCGAGCCTCGAAGGAACGTACGAACGGGAGGCTCGAGCCTGGCGGAGCGAGCGGCAAGCGGTTTTTGATGCGCGAGGCGCGTGTTGGCCATGGATGCCATGGGGCCCACAGACTGCCCGGTTCAAAAACATCAGAAAATATGTGAAAACATCAAACAACATCACATGGCACCTTTTCTTTCCTTCTATGTGCCCAAGTCACAACATCTCCACCGCGACATTCGCTGTCGCGGTCGCCTCACCAACACATGCCGATTCGCCACGGTGTTGGTCCACGGTGTTGGTCACGTCGATTCGGCGCTTTCCCACGGTGACAGACTGACATCGGCTTGACCACGCGGTGGATCGCGGTGGTCCCCTCTCTTTTTTCGAGTCCAGTCGCGACGTCTGGGCAAACAAGAACCTGAAACAATGGGTGTCTGAAACAACAACGGCTCCCCGTTGCCTGTTGTTTGACCGCCGAAGCGAGACAAACGAGTCGAGAAAAGCGAGAGACACGTGGTGCAAAAGCCTCAAAAATAGGAAGACATAAGAAGACCCTGCGTAACACAGGTCACTTGCAGCGTCTGATCTTCTTAACATGTTGCTCAGGTCCGTGTAACACAAAAAAGATCGAAGTGTCTTCCCTTGACTTGGGTCGATAGTTACCGATGTTACCGGGCCCCGGCGCGGGTTCAATGCATGACCTGGAGGAACATGTGCACTCATCACTTTCCGAATTCACTCGTCGATATTTAGGGGCTGAAGACTTCTAGATACCCACCCCCTCGAGCTCCATCCTAGCCTTCGATGCGATCATCTACAGTGTTCCGGTTTTCGCATGCATTCACCCACACCCCAACTTGGATGTCAGGCCTTCATCAACTTGATGGAGTAGCTGCAAACTACCTGCAACTTGCTGAGCGTGAAGCAACCAAACCGACCAGCAAACGAGGTCAGTAGTATGACATGAAGTACTGACAGACATGAAGCAATATATATATATATGGAGGTTGGGGGTGCCCATTATCCACTCACTTAGGGACTAAACACCACCCCTTTGCGACTGCTGGATGAAGTATATATGTTAACAGACACACAAGCTGAGAGAGTCTGATATTATGTCTTGATGTGAACACCAGAAGCACTGTCGCAAGCATTCTGCCCGCTCTCCCAAACTGAAACGGCATACATCATACAGTAGACTCAGTAGACATTGAAGCCAGAGAAGTGACACTTCTTCCACGTTAGTTTTGGTTCAATCACATTGACAATCCAACACAACAGAAACAGAACGGCCTACAGAACGTTCGCTACAACGCGCGAACCAGCACCACGACCAGCTTCCACACACACAGCACCCTGAAGCTTTATATATAATGTAGACTCTTATTTTAAATTGAGTCATATATTTCAACCCCCCACGGTCTACAGAGGTTTTACACCCCAAATCGCAGAACATCGCCAGGGATTTCTTTGATCATCATTGATCATATCTAAGAGTCTACACTCCACTTCAACTCACCTGGGCATACCCCAGCAGCCGTTACCAACATGTTACAACTGGCACCTGTTATGTCGTCCTGTTCTGTTGTCCTCTTTTTTTGTCGCATTGAAAGCACCGCCTCCCTCTATAGACCCATCCATCCTGGGCACCGGCGCCCCATCCACCGGCGGAAGCGCCGCCGGTCGCGCGCGACGGACTCACCCAGGCCAACGGCCCGGGTGAACCGGAGGGCGTGCCAACAGCCAGGGTGAAGGGTGCCAACATGGTGCGTTCCCATCATGAACGAGAACATCCGTGAACGCCATGCAGAATGCGTATGCGCCGTGAACGCACCGTTTTCATCGCTCGTGCACGCGCACTGAAGCACCCAAACCTCTGCGCAGGTCCTAGATCCCACCTGATTCCGATCCCCCAAAAGGTGGAAGTTCCTGAATTCCTCCAAACAGTTCCCCAAACAAACACCACAAACACCGCGACGAAGCTCCGGACCTTGCTGCCACGGACGAAGCTCCGTCGCGGTTTCCGCGCCGCGGTCCCTGGGAAGCGGAGCTCCGTCGTGGCGTTGGGAGCACGGCCGGTGGTGGCTGGTGGCTGGTGGTGGCTGCCTGGGTGGACATACTGGGGGACACGTTTCGCGGAAGAAATTGGAAGAACGGCCGGTGGCAAACGGGTTGCCTAATGTGCACTGATCGCTCGCAGAGCGATCAGACTGATTTCTCTTTGCAGACCGGCCAGGCAGCCGACCAATGCCAAGACAAACAGTGGAAAACATTTGAATCTAGCTCAGTTGTTCCCAACCATCATGAAGAGACCAAGACCACTGTTCGGCCCACATCAGCGCCACGTAAATCACGAATCTGCTATAGTTGTATCTTGTATCTTGTCCAGCGATGCCACCTTCCCCCAAAAGCCATCGCACCAATCTTGCCATTTTTCCTAGAAGCATGCGAGCACAAGGCGTGGTGCATACAGCTCAGGGCACAAATTCAACCTTTTCCATCTCTTCCCCAAAAAAATCAAGCCGGGATCTCCATGTCTGGATCACTAATTATAAGACTAACTAAGTGGTTGTGAGGCAGTACACATTCTTTTGGGGATGGGGATCGGCCAGCGACAGCTGCAGCTGGCCTCGGACTCTCCTCGCAACGCCTGGGACCCCCGAACGCTCTACGTGGTCCGAGATGGCTTTCACCACAGTGGGCACCTCACACGGAGCGAGGTGCCCCAGCAAGCGCTGCTAGCGCAGACCCTCACTGGAGACGTGCATCAAATAGCCTGGACAAGGATCCAATGTATAATATACATAATGTAATATATACTCTGGAAGTCAAAGTGGTTTTGTAGTGTAAAACCCTTAGTAAAACAATGGTGCTTCGGGATTCAGGCTACTAAAACAATGGTGGTTCGACTTCTAGGGTGTGTATATATATATATATATGTATGTACATGCATGTATTAAAAACCCATTCCGACCAAAATCAATATTACACTACACGTCGACAAACACCTTCCAGTTTACCACGTTTGATGGCTTTGAATGTTAGATCTTCGGCAAGTTCTTCTCCCTCTCATTCTGTCACTCAGTTGGGCAAACAGTCAGTTGAGTCAGCTAGTCTGAGTCAGTCAGTTCAGTCCCTCAGCATTCCAATCTGTGTGGGGGCGCTTGGGGCACCTCCCTCGGCCTCCCTCTGGTCCTATCCTCTCGTGCCAGGTCACCAAAGGATGCTGCCAACGCTTCCCCTGCTCCTGGTCCTCACCTCGCTACCGCCCCACCCCGTCCGGCACTCTTCGGGACTTCGGGTCCCCACGGGGTCCCCCGGCGTTGCGGATCCCGGTGGAGTTGGCCGAACCAGATCTCAATTGGACCGACATATTTGGAAGAACTCCCCTCCCACATCAACCCGAACGAACGCGAGTCCTGGCGCGTGTTTTTGCAGGTGGTCGAACCGGTGTCTCCAGTGTCTCCTCCAGTGTCTCTAGTGTCAGCTTTTGCTGCTCAACTGTCCAAATCCTTTTCTTCCAGAAAGTGACGAGCAAACCTCATGCGACAATGTCACTCATTCCTGGCTCCAAACTCTGCAACTGTTTCTGTCAGGATATCACCACTAACTTGGATGCTTCATGATGCTTCTATTCTTTGTTGACTTTAAACCCAGAACCTCTAACTTTTCAATCCACACTCTTGTCACTGACACCACCAATCAACGTCCCTTCCGAAGGAAGGCGTTGTTTGCTGGCTCAGCTGCTCTGAAGTTGATGAAGTACTTTCAGTGATGCATCCTGCTGAGTGTCCATCTTGTTGGTGGAGGGATCGCCTTGGGTGTCCCAGTCATGTGTCACGCACACGCGAAATCAAGCAAAATCAAGCGAACAACGTGTGCCACGTGTCGCGAAACGTGTGCTGAAGAGCAGTCCTGAAGACCATGGAAGAACAGATTCCAAGAACAAAAACGTGTCTCCTACGTAGTCCGACTGTGGACATGTTCTTTGTTTGGAAATGCGAAAAGAACCGCTGGAACTGCACTTGAGTTTCTGGGTTCTCAACCTCAAAGGCTCTCAACCTCAAGGAGTTGCTAAGCAACCAAAAAGGACGCAGTCCGCCGCTGGGCCGGAGTTTTGGGGGCCCAACCACATCGAAGGGAGTTGTGTTCCGTGTGACCATGCAGCTTAGTTGCCATAATCCCACTTCTGATCATCCTCTTTCGTGATCGTGGCGCTGGCGCGAAACCAGTTCCGCCCCTGTGGCAGATCTTCATGGTGGTAGAATGAGACCTGCCGTGCCGTTCCGCGGACCTGCGGACCTGCTTTTCACCCCCCCTGGCTCTCGTGTGGGGTCTCACCCCCATGGAGGCCAATCAAGTGTGAAACCACATGAAAAGTGAGGCCCAAATATATATATATATATATCATATAAACACACATGAACATACGTTGAACATAGCAACCACATTGAAGCTGCATGCTTGGCGCAATGCTTGGCACCTCTCAGAGTTGGGCCCGAGACCCGAGACATCGTGGGAGTGCGAGTGATAAGCTCTGACCAAGTCTGATAGATCTCGGGTCTATCCTTGGTCTATCCTAGTACAGTGGTCCCCAAATGGATAGTGGCACGTCTTCCAATACGTGTTTAGTGGGGATCTACTTTTCTATCTATATGGGGGTCTATATACCAGGATATAAGTGATTGGCTTGGTCAGTCAAGGCCGTTTTATCTCGAAAAGAGTGATTGGCTCTTTTTGCCGACTGTGACAGGTCATAGGATAGACCCAAGAGATCCTTAAACCCAAGATAGGACACTCCCCTCAGCCTCAGACCCCCTTTTTCGCACATCGAAGACCAACAAAAACAACCAGCTGAATGCCAGAAGAACCCAGCTGTTTTACTAAGGTTTTTTAACCTGGTTCTACACTCCCCAAACCAGCCAAGCTCCTTCCCATTTCTGACCAAACATGGTCGAACTGAAGGCGGCAGGCCGGGGGGTAGACTTGAAATCGAGAGAAGACAAACCACGCGTCCAGTCGACGTGATGTTGCGTTGGATGAGACATCCCCATGGAAATACATGGCTGTCCTACAAAAAGACCTACCTACATGTACATGTGTATTGGTTGGATGTCTCCCCATTGAAATACACAGGTCCTATATAAGAATTATATTTTACTTTTTGGACGTCGCGAGTCGTGCGTCGGAGATTCTTTTTCATCCTCGAATGCGGTGTTTGAGGTTTGCTTCGCAGCAGGAACGAGCCGTGCCAGGCGATACGTGACTTCTGCACCTCACACCTCAAAGCATACCCTGGGATTCCCGGCCATCCATTGATTTCATGGTCTTTGCCAAGCATCCATTTTTAGGGGATTTTACACTACAAAACCCGTCAGGTCAACCCTTCGTTTAATGGTCAAACTGAAGTCTAGGGCATATAGGTACTGGCATAGGTATAAGACCATCCGACCATCTGGGTGTCCTGGTTGGACTACCCAACCCACTCGGATGGTCCAGGCATGTCCAGGGTACTTAGCTCTTAAGTGGTCTTATTTCACATGTCTGTCTTAGTCTTAACATTCTTAACCATCACTTTCTGAGTCACTTCACCTTCCCCCTGCACCTTCTCCTTCCAATTTTTCCACCCACAAAAGACCAACACCTCTTCCACCTGGCCGAAACCGGAGCTCGCGTCGTGCACCTGGCCGACCGACCGAAACCGCGTCGCTCCGCCTCGCCTCCAGCTGGGGTGGAGCGAAGCCCCTCCGCCGCGCCACGTCGATGAGCAATGCCTTGGGGTTTTGCCCCACCCAGGTCCTTAGCCAACGATCGGACGATATCGGACGCTACGCTTCGTGGCGATCCCCTAAGGCCTGACCCTGAGGCCTTACTACTACTACTACTACTACTACTACTACTACTACTACTACTACTA